GGAGTCCAGTGCTGTGATCATAGTTCACTGCAGCCTCAAACTCCTGGGTTCAAGTGATCCTCCTGCCTCAGCCTCCTAAGTAGCTGGGACTACAGGTGTAGGCCATCATGGTTGGCTAATTTTTCATATTTTTTTGTAGAGTCTGGGTCTTTCTGTGTTGTCCAGGCTGATCTCATACACCTGGGCTCAAGTGATCCTTCCTCCTCCACCTCCCAAAATGCTGGGATTACAGGTGTGAGCCTGGCCAGACTAATGTATATTTATTACAGAATGAATCCATAAAACTCTCCATAGTGAATACAAATTGATTATGGTGAATTGGCAGAGTTGTCCATTTTTGGCCTAGTGAGGGGTGGTAGAGACTTTCCCTTGTTTCCTTGGAGGATATTTTGGAAGGGAATTCATAAACAATGGAAGAGACTGGCCTCGAATTTCCTAATTGAAGGTGAGTTGGAAAGTCACACTTGTTTATCTGTCTGAGTAGGCAAAAAAGAATTGGAGAGAGAGAGAACAATTGATGGAATGAGGGGAACTAGTGGAGCAGTTTACATGCCCACTGTTTGGAGTGGTATGGATACCTGGATTCAGGGGTGGCTACATATTTGCATGGCCCAGTTAAAAGTGAAATTGCAGGGCCTCTTATTCAACATGATCAAGAATTTCAAGATGGCATCAGAAAAACATGAAATCAAGCAGGGGCCCTGTGCTACGGTACAGATTGTGTCATCATGAAACAGACTTTGCCTAAATCTCCCCTGGTCAAAAGGAGGCCAGGCTTGCTAGAACTCCACCTAAGGGGCTGGTCTGCCTACGTCAGGATTGAAGCAGAGCGGGTTTAGAAGAAGTCAGGCTGAGGCAAGCTCTCCCACTTCAAAGAACGGTGCACTGCAGAGGTCCTTCAGAGCTACTGACATCCTTCCTCACCCATGTGCCCAACAGAGAGCCAGCATTTGATACCCACCTGACAAGAGGCCTCTGCAACCAGTCAGTTGGCCAGACAAGCGGGGACTGAGATCAGGTCAGAATTATACGTTTGCTCATTTCATCCTGATCTTCCTTCCCTATCCCAACACCCAGGGAGCTAAAATGTGAAGATGTGTGAGAAGGAATAATAGAGCAGCCCACACCCCCTTCCTGAGGCAGCCCATTGATCTCAGGAGGCCTGGAAGGGATGAGACAAATGTTCTAAACCGGGCTCTGGTGTGTGTTGTATTTTTAATAACTGAAAATAATTCTAAATCTGAGGGCTCTCTTTGAAATATTATTAAGAAACAGAATTTGTAGATTTGATAGTACATTTCCCTTTGTTGAAAGGAAATGATTTAAAAACGCATATTTTATTTGCACCTCATGAAGACTGTTCAATAAACCAGTTACTATTAAAAATTATATTACAAGGCAGGGAGTGAGGAAAGCAATTCAGGACACATTCAGTTGACAGATAATAGATTGCAAACCCTTTCATTTCTAGTATTGATCTGAGGAGAGCCAAATGAATGCTGAATATAAATTACCATGCAAACATCTTTGCTGGAAGAACTCTTTACTAGAATATTATTTTTAATATATTCAATCCTTTGGGGTAAACATTTCAAATATTACACTCTATTTATTACCTCTCCCTATAGATATTTTAGGGCATGATGACTTGAGCTTTCACTGTAGTGACTGATCTCAGCACAGGAGACTCTTTGAACGCCATTTGACAGACTTCTGTTCTCATCATCCAAAGTAATAAAAATATTTAAGCATTTGAAAATTCAACATTAGTTATTTATTATTTCATTTATGTATCAAATATTTATTGAAGCCCTAAATGGGTTCTGTTAGGCCCCGTGAGGGATAAAACATGAATTAGACACTGAGCTCATGCTCAGGATGCTTCTAGTTTGCTAAGACTCAAGATGTACAGATACAGCAAGAAGGCAAGGTGGAAAGTGTTGAGAGATACCTTAAAAGGGATGTGCCCTTAGACCAGTCACTGGGCTCCTGGCTTGGGCACTGAGTTTTAGAGGACCTTATTCTGGTCTAAGGGGGACATGCCCACCAGGCACCTGAATTTCATTCTCCTTCTAGACTATGTGCTGAGTGTCTAAGACCCCAGAATCTCATGCATAAGTGGCTCCCCTGTTCATCTCCCAAGTGGAGCCTGCAGAGCTGGCATGCACAGGGTGGCTGAAGGAGTGGCCAAGGGATGGCTCTTTGCAGAGATTGTGGTCAGAGCTCTCTCTGCATTACCTTTAACAGTTTATTAGCTTAATTAAGAACTTTTAATATTTAGACTATGTTACAAGGGCCTCCAATTGTTTTTGCCACAGGGACACAAAAATGTTAGGGGCAGGTTGGCCTGGCTATGGAAATTCAGGAGGAGGGAGAATTTGCCTTGGTAGTATCTGGGAAGTTTCACCGGGGAAGTGGAGCTTGACCATGCAGAGGTGGGGAAGGAAGGAGGAAGAGGAATTTCTGGCAGATGGAACATCACACTCAAAGGCAGGGAGATTAAAAGTACAAGATTACGTGTGGAAAGTCTGGCTTTCCTGGATGTCAGGAATGCAAGAGTAGAAACAGAAGTTGTAGAAGGAGAGGGAGACCAGATCATGGACAGTGTGGAACACCAGGACGTAGTGAGTGAGGGCTGAGCGAAGTGTCTTGTATTCTCAGCACAGGAGAATCCATTTAGAGGGACTGATGTTCACATGCAACATTCACAACAGCAGGCGAAGGCCTTCAAACTTCTTTCTGTAGGCAATGGGTGCCACTGTTAGGTTTGAGCTGTTTTGGTGAGATCAACTCTGTAAGTATGAAGCTCTGGCTTGCCATGGGGATGGCAGATGGGAAAGACTGGAAGGGTGGAAAACAGTGAGCAGGCAACTGTGTAGAACAGAGCAATGATAGGGGGAGGTGAAAATGAGACATAGTTGAGATAACAGAAAGGACGAAATTGGTAGAGAAAGAAATAAAAAGTGACCCCAAGACTCTGTGTGAATCTTTGGTGGCCAGCTAATCATCTTTGCCATGCCAACACAGAAGAGTGAGCAGATTCAGTTCTCAGACTATACTGAACACTCTGGGTGGTGGATGGTGGGGATGGGATGAGGAAGAAGAAAGACATTGGATGTGGGTACGTGGCTTGAAGTTTGCACCTGTTCATCATCATAAACAATCACCCACTCATTTTGTTATGTGTTGTCCATAGATATTATTGTTTGTGCCTTGAAGAAATAAACAATATTCATGACTTTGATCCGTAATTGTTGATCGTCTTCTGGATGTATGGCACTGTACATACTGTGCAGTGTGGACAACCATAGAATATAATGCACAGATCTCTTCAATGAATGGAAACCTCCATTTCCAGAGTCGTCATCTTAATCCATCTCAAGCTTTTTAATAACTCATATGCCCAATGTCTTGGAGGCTCCCAACAGTGATATCATGTGTGAAGAGAGAGGAAGGCTTCTATCCTGTAACAGGCATTTCTAAGTTGCTAAGTAACCTTTTCCAAAGGAGAACACAGAAATCTGTCAGCTGCATGGCATGACAATGACTGGGTCCAGTTTATCTCAACATATACAGGCTTTGCACTGGCGTTTCCTGGACTCAGTGTCATTCTCTTCTATCCTGCAGGCTTTCTAAACACAAGCATTTCAATATTAAGCTTATTCGTTGTTTATATTCCATTACGTGAGAATAAGTCTCAACCCAAACCATGTTTGAACTGGAAGTTAGATTTTTGCCAGTTGCACAATATGGTACACACACCTCTGCACACCCACAGTTCCTTCGCCAAATGCAAACCTTGCTCTGTGGGGATTACTTAGGTAGCAGTTTTTAATTGGGTGGCAAGTGTCATAACCGCCACACAGAGTTAGTTTGCTTCCTCCGCATTTTCTACAAGGATCGGGCATAAGGCTTTTAAATGACATTCTAAGATGAGGGAGGCAAAAGCAACAGAGAAGGCGTGGAAACGTGTCCTGCTGTCGGTTTCGTCCATAACCGCTGAAGCCTGAAGAGTCAGCAGCTTTAAATGTAAACAAGAGAGGGCTGTCAAGGAGACGTTGACCCTGGGTCCCCGGGGGTGGAAGGTTAACCTCGGCTTGTAATTAAGCAAGCGCAGGGGGCGCGGCCTCCGAGGCTGAATTAGAAGGCTCAGCTCTACCGAGCCCTCAACGCCAACGGCTGGCTACAAAAATTGGTGGCTCGGCCGAGAGACGTTTACCTCCTTGGAGGCTCGCGTCCACCTGGACATCTGTTGACGGGTCAAGTTTCACTAACGCCATGTACTTGAGGAAAAAAACCCCAAACTACATACTCTAAATCGAGACTTTCCTCCCTCCCTTTCCTCCTTTTTTACTTTCTTTATTATGTATTTATTTTTTATTTGTACTTTTTCCTTTACTTCAACGCCTTCCTCTCCCTTGGTCAGCAAATCACCCACCCCTGCCCCACCCACTCACCCCACTCTGGCTCCATCTTTTCATCTCCGGAGGGCCCGGGGCTCAGGCCACTGTGCCCGGCTCCCGCTGCGCGCCCGCCCCACCGCCTACCGCGAGCAGTTCTCCCTGCCCCCTGCAGGCTCCCCCGCTTTCCCAGGCAGGGACTGTCGCGCTCCGGGTCCGACCTCTCCAGGGCGCTATATCGTGTCCGTCCCCGGCTCCGGTCCTCCGCCACGCTTCCAGCGCCGCCCAGCGTCTTGTCCCCGCGCGGGCCGGTGCGGCCACGGCCGCGGCTCCCCGGGTGGCCAGGCCTCCGCGGAGTCGCCCCGCCCCGGTCCAGCTCCGCCCCCGGCCGCCGCTCCCTGATTGGCCGCGCGCCCCCTCCTCCCCGGGTCCCTCCCCTCCCCCTCGCCCAATGGGCACCACCACCTGGTCCAAAAATTCCCCTGAGGGGACCTAGGGGCTCTGCAACCTCTAGCTCCCGCCCGGCGGCCGTGACGGCCGGGTCGGGGCACAGAGCGGGGAGGGTCACAGAGTGGGGAGAGGAGGCAGGAGGAGGAGCAAAGGTGTTGGAGAGAAAACTTCTGAAAGGAACAGGAAACCTGCTGGGGAGACGGCGGCTGCGGCTTCTCAGGGCGCCCGGGCTGCGGTCGTGGCGGGGTGTCCATAGCTGCAGCTTCGCTCCTGCCCAGCTTGCCCGGCGCGGGAGCTGGGCTGAGCCGCGACACACAGTCTCTGGCTGTGCCCTCCGCCGCCGCGCTGGGCCGCGGCGGTCCTGCGCTCCGTTCCGCCTGTGCCGCGGCAGCTCCCTGGAGAGAGCGCGGCGAGGGCGCAGGGAAGAGGAGGGACGTGCGCTCTGGATCATGAAGCAGCATGTCTGATAAAATGTCTAGCTTCCTCTACATAGGGGACATCGTGTCCCTGTACGCGGAGGGCTCCGTCAACGGCTTCATCAGCACCTTAGGGTAAGCGGGGGACGCGGGCCGGGCGGCGCTCGCGCTCAGTCTCCTCGGAGCCCATCCCTGTCCCTCCTCGCGCGCGCGTCCTCCCGCTCCCGCCCGCGGTGGCCGGGCCGGGCCATCTGCGCCGCCGACCGCGCTGTGCGCTCCGCTTGCGCGCTCGCTCGCAGGAAGCTGCCCCGAGAGGCAGACTGTCTCAGCTACTTCGTAATCTCAAGCTCAGAGACACATCAGGAAAGGAGGAAGTGATTCAAAAGCCCTGAGACAGGCCCGGCGAAGAAGTCTTCTCTGGCGTCTCCATGGGTTGTTTTGACTAGAATGTGTGTTTGTTTTCCTTTAAGGGCAAAACAAAACACCCCTCTTCCCATCTTTTCTGGCTACGACTCTCAGCCCCTTGTCTCTCTGCCGGGTTTGAAAGAGCAGTTGATAGAAATCCGTGGCCTTGGACGTGAAACTTAAGCGATGTGGTGAGCCAAAGTGTGGCTTTGTCCTGCGGGAGGAGCTCACCGTCCCCTCTTCGCTGAAGTAATTTCCTTTTGGCCTGGCCAAGCAGGGACTCGCCCCGCCGTCGTGGGCAGCCCAGGGGAGTCCGCAGCGCTGTGACCCTCAGAGGTTTCTGAGGGCCTCCTGGGTTCTGGAACTGAGACCTGCCTTCTCCCCTACCCCAGCCTTGGCCCACTGAAATGCTGAAACTCTCCTGGAACTCAGCCAACTGCAGAGCTCTTGAGATTTCAGTCGGTTTGTGAATGGGGGAAATAGGTATTATATATATATCTATATCTATATATATCTATATATAAAAACAGCATGCTAAATGGTTAAATAGAACTTCCTTGATTACTGGTATTTTCTCTCTGTCCTTATTGTGAATACCAGTGTGCAGTTTAATTGCACGCTGCAATGTATTTTGATGCACAGGTATTTTTTGTTACCTCATGGTCTCAGCACTTAGACTCCCCCAGTCTTAGAGATTTTAGGCTGCGGAACTGGTGTTTCCACTCGTGGCTGGTTACCACTTTCAGCTTTACGTTTTGGGCCACATGATTTAACATGCAAAGTCCCTGGACCTTGACTGCGAACCGTGTTACAGGTTTTGAGGCACATGACGTATGTAACTGAGTGCTGCCTACTCAGCCCTGGGATGTGGAAGTCACCAGTACTTCCACAGTTCCTGTTATTGATATTTGTGCATTTCCCCTAATGGGTAAAAGAAGGGAGGTAGATTTAGTTTAATCCCTTTTGCATCAATGTTATTTACTTGTGAAACTAAAGCATAGAAAGAATAAGTATCAATGGCAAATGCTTATGCTGGGTTTTAAGTCTTGAGCTACCATTGTTTCTGAGAGCATTCATGGTACAAATTCAGTTTTTGGGCCCCCAACAACATTTTGCAGATGGCTGTGCTGCACTTCACCTTCCATAGACTCCCTAGGTGTGTGTGATGTAGTAGTTAAGCAGGATGGGCTCCAGGGACAGAATGCCTGGGGTTCAGATTCTGGCTCTTCCACTTGTAAACCTTATGACCCAGGGTAAGTTACATAATCTTTCTGTGCTTCGTCTCCTTGGTTCTGAAAAATAGGAATAATAATGGATTCTACCTTACAGGATTGTGGTGAGGAAGAAGAGAGTTAATATATGTAAAGTGCTTAGCAGGGTACCCTGCACATAATAAGCACTTATGGAAGTGTTAGCTGTTTGGGTAATTATCACTGTCTTGGCGACTGTGAACAATAGTTATATTCGTGGAAAAAATAATAAAAAGAATTAGGAATAGAGTGTAAAACCTAGACAAAGAAAGGAATATGTTTTTGTAGTATGCATATGGATAACTTACAAAACAAATATTAGAGAAGCCTATTGATGGTAAATCAGGAAGCTGCAACTTTAACAGTTGTGGAGTTGGCCCTGCTCAGGAAATTGAGGTGAAGAGAAATGAAGTGACTAACTCAAGAAACAGAGAGGGCATTAATGCCAAAAGCTGGAACTCTAACCTTGTCTCCAGATTCCCAGCCAAGTGTGCTTTTCTTTGGTTACATATAATAATCTTTAAGCCTTGAGAGAAATAAGCTTGTATAACCTTTAATGTAGCAAATACATTTGTATAAATATTTCTTATTTGTATTTAATATGTCTTGCTTGTGTTTTAAAAGTTGTTTCCTTAGGGTGTGTTTATTCAGTGTATTATTTTCTGTTAATGAACTGAGTCTTGTTGAGGTTCTTATGACAAGGCGCTCATGCAGCAAGATCCTATGGGGAGGAAGGGTCTTTAGAAACGCTGCCGTTGGTGAAACATGTGGCTTCGATTGGGTCATCTTTTTCTGACATAGATTGCTCAGAGGTTCAGATAACTTTGTAATACTTCAGAGGTTAGTTGGGTATGGCGCTATCTCCCTCCTGCTACTTGCTTCTGTAACATCTTTTCAAAGGACAGTTACAGTAAAAGTTGCTGATCTACCCTGATGCAATCTCCTGGCCTTCGTGAACAGTGTCCAAAGGGTACTCAAGGGCAGTATGATGCTAGCCTAAGACTTAAATGGGTTCTAAGTTGAGAGAATCCTTGTAGAATAATTGAGGCAAACTGTAAAATTAAAAGTGCTGTGATTTCTCGCTTGACAGTAACGACATCATTACATTTATGATATATAAAAATTTAGAACTTTCTGCTTTGAAAACAGGACAGCCCAGAAAACATGTTGGGAATATCAAATAGAATTCAACCTGAAATTATTAATTATCTCATTTATGAACATTTCAAAATTCTGTTGTATATGAGATATGCAAATAATGTTGCAAAAACTTTTAATTTGCTTTCAGAAAGCATCTGGTATCTTTTTTAAAAAAGCTCATTTGATTTCTAAAGGGATCATGCTGTTCATTTTCTATTCTTATAAATATTAAATTTAAAAGTCATATAAGAGAAAACAGGAAACTTTGGAGGTAAGAAGTAAATTTGTTTTCCCGACCATAAGTCACACATCACAACAGAACTAACTGGACTCTTGTGCCCAAACATGAAGGTTTGTTCATGGCTTCTTGCAGTCCTCTTCTTGTACCTCCTGCCATCACAGTGTATATATATTTCTGTGGGAGTTGTTAGATAAGATGTTAAAACTGAGATTTGACCTTATTAACTAAACCAAAATATTTTATCATAATTTAAAACTGAGGTATTTTGTGTTCATCTCATTGATTTTTATTAACATGCGGATAGTTTTCAAAGTTAGGGATTCTGTTTATATTAATAAAATAATTTTCTAAAATTCAGGGATGAAAAGTTTCAATTTTTGAGAAATAATCCTATTTCATTTCCTAATGGCCATGAACTATAGCATTTGATGCTTTTATCCTGAGAAATCAGACCGATTGAACATGATTGTTTTGTTCAAAAACTGACATTGCAGTTTTTTAGATAGTCATGCTTGGTTTTAATGTTTAGGACTTTCTTTAGCTTGTGGAACCACACTACCCTCAGATTTTTAGGAGTTATAAAGCTCATGGGAGCATATGTCCATGCCATATGGAATCTTATCTAGGCATATGTTGGGGTAGCATCCCCAATTGTTAGCTCAGAGTACAATTGGTAGATAATTTATTTTGCAAGTCAATTTTAAGGCTATGAAACCAAAGTGAGATGGTAGCTGTAGTTTCTTATTATGTTGTAATAGGATCATTATTTTTACCCTTGCTATATCAAAGACAGAGTGCATACTTCTAGTTGAACTTCCTTGCTCTTCTGTTAGTTGGATGTCTGTTGGCCTAGGTCTGCTGCTAATTAGCCATGTGACCTTGTTCACATCATTTATTCTTTTCTCATATCAGCCTGTCTTCATGGAGACTAAGAAGAAGAACAGATACTGTTCTCCCTCTCCCTGGGGGTATTATAAAAGTGAGTGAAAAAAATAAAAAGATTCCTTTTTTAGAAAGTTGCTAGGAAAATCTACATTATGGTTGTATTTTTGCATGTAGAATCGCAAACTTTATTCAAAGGCATATAAATTGTTAAAGTGAATCAGATTGGAGACATTGGCATTGTATATATTCAGCCAAAATTTGTTCCACTGTAAGATTAAAGACCTAACAGAAGAGCTAAAAGTTAGACTACAAGTTTTTGATTTCCATTTTAGCTCTTCATCCATTTGACACATTTAGTAGCATGATAATTTTTCAAATTTAGCTTAGGAAGGTAGTTAATAAGAATTGAGTTTATACAGCATTTCAAGGTAGTGACTAGATATTTATTTGCAAATAAATTTCATTTGATTTTAATATTTAGTGTGTAAATGTTTTTGAGGATATACATTGTTGTTATGTAGCTTTTGGAAATTTTTGCAATAAGGTAATGACTTTTTCAGCTGAGGAAAAGTCATGGGATTTCACTTTATTTGAATTTAGTGGGCCCCTTTTGAGGGCCTTTTGACTGGAGTTGGAGGAAGATTTTCTTGGACTCTGTGACCCGGCTTTTCAGTTTGATTTCTCCGACTATTTGTGCAAAATTTGAACGCCTCAGTTGCAAAGATTTGACCTTATCCTTTAACCAGTATTTACCTGATTTTTCTGAATCCTGAATTGTTGCAAAATGAGTTGTTGTTATTGTTCTTCTCTCTGTTTGTAGGTGCCCTGGTTTGTATTTCCTAATTTAATCTTTCATCTAAAGATTCATTTAGGAAATACTTGTATAGACTTATGGAAAATTGCTTTAAATCCTATCGAATGAAGATGGTGAATGTATTTTAAATAAACTGACTTTTTTCTACTGGTACATTTTAGGGTTATACTCTTTATGTTTCTTTTAAAAGGGAACGGGGGGGTTTTGGGATATACTGTACAATCTCAAATGAAGTGTTAATTGTCTCCCCCTCATTTTCTCTCTCCTGGGATTTGTTTCCCCTGTTGCTACCACATCTGACAACAAATGTTTATATTTCTGGGGACATTGACTTCACCAATGGTCAGGTACCACAGAGTGGGGACTGAGCATAACAGAATTCTTGGGATGGTGGGATAGT